GGTCCCGGGGTCGGAGGCTCCCTTCCCTTCCTCCGTGCGCCCCTCGCCCCCGCCTCTCGCGCTTCTGCTCCCCTTCCCCTCCTCCTGTCCTTGCTCTTTTCGCCTTGCTGCCCCCCACTTTCTTCCGCTCACCTTGCTGCCCCTTTCCTAGGCCCCTCTCCTTTCTTCCTGCAAAAGGAAAACAAAAAACCCCCTTAGCCGCAGATGACCGTTTCAGCGGAACTCGCTTTGCGGGTGCGAGGGACCCTTGGCAGGACTGGCTCAGTGCGGGAATGGTGGTGGAGAGGGTCCCGGCGCCCGGCGCCCGGGGAATCTCATCGGGAGCTTCCAGGCTGCTCGTCAGTCGTGTCCGGGTCTGTCTGTCTCCCTAAAGTCCGACAGGAGACTGCAGTGAGAGGCGGTGCGGGCACGGCCGCCGGCTAGTTGGTGGGCACGGCATGATCCTCTGCTAAATATATTATGACATACCCTGTGCCTCCGCGAGCAGCTCCCTTGACCTTGCGCGGCTCCTCCCCCCTCGCTCTCTGTCCCCCTCTGGAATTTCCCGGAGAGATCACCGAGGTACTACACCGGGGAGGCTCAGACCCTCCGTTTTCTTTTATTTTTGTGCTGGAGACGATGTCTGTGTTGGTGACTATTTAGATGTGTTGAATCCATTTTCCTTTTTAAATGAATTTTCCGTTTACTCCCCCCAGAAAAACAGGACAGACTCCAATGTGAGAATGGCTGTGACTTTGGAAGAAGCCCCGTGGCTGGGCTGGATCTTGGTGAAAGCCCTGATGAGGTTTGCCTTCATGGTCGCCAACAACCTGGTTGCAATTTCATCCTACGTCTTCTATGTGATTGTGCTTCAGCCCCTTCGAGTGCTGGACTGTAAGCGCTTCTGGTATATTGAAGGAATCATGTATAAATGGCTTTTAGGCATGGTGGCTTCTTGGGGATGGTACGCCGGATATACAGGTAAGCATGAGAACACTTTTGTTTAATGTGTAGGAAGAAATAGGTACTGTTAATGCTTAGTTCAGGAGCCATGACTAAATATGCATTACACTTTGGATTGACGACGCTTTTATGCTTTGACTGTTGAAAAAATAAATAGAAAACAATTCTATTGAGTTTTTTCTTTAGAATCCCAATTAATAAGGATATTTTCAGATGTATGACTTCATAATTATGAATTGACAAATTCCTTTAATATTATGTTTTTTATGTGATTGACATTTCGTGAAACAGATCTGCAAAGGCTCTCCTAGAGAAATAGGAATGGGTTATATAGAACTTGAGGACTTATAAAATGAAGAGGTAAGATACTTAGCTCATAAACATTGGGCATTTAGGAAAAAGACTGAGCCATATTTGTGTTAAGAGTTTAATATGTGTTTTTTTCATTTAATGTAATATTGTACTCTTAACATTTTAAGCCAAACAAAAAATGGCTTTCTGTTCTGTTCTTTTGCTTACTAGAATCTCTGTTTTATCTCATAAATCTGTATTAGAATAGTAAATGTAAAAATTAAGTTTAATATACGTTAAGCTAATTTATTTTCTGAGTGTCTTTAAGTACATTTTTATTTCTGCCTTTAAGTTGCATTTTGGGAAGCAGGAACAATGCCGTTCTGAAGCGGACTTTTAGAGAACTAGATGAGAAGTAGTGTTTATTTTCTGTTTTGAAGCCTTTGAGAACTTGTGCCTCTGCTATGAAAATTCTGGGTTGTGTATTTTATTTATTTGACTGTTTTCCCCTGAGAATTAGGATGATGAAAAAAGCATTGATGTTTCTAGCATTTGTCTTAGACATTGAGGCTTTTATCTTAGATATTTATAACTGATAGGCCCCTTAGAGATCACGCTGTAGATGGTGCGGTTAGTGGAGTCTGTAGAGTAAGGAAGGTACTCTCAGGGTCTTACAGCACAGCAGTTCCCCATTTTAAATTCTCTGTCTCCCTCTTTCCTGCCCAGGCTGCACCTGCAGATTTTATCCAGACACATGAGAAAAGGACTGACAGCACCCAGCTTTTATGGAGTCTGGCAGACTCTTGCTAGGTCAGAGTGCTCTCAGTTTCCCAGATGAAGCCTTTTCTCCTCCTGGCAATGCCATTTATTATTCTGGAAGACCCGAAGCCCCTGGGTAGTGTATGCATTGCTTCCTTGTCATGTGTTTTGTCACAATCCTAATGCTTTTTGGATATAGTAGGTGAGCTACTAGTACTTTTATAGGGCTTCGTGGTAGCAGTAGTGGTGATAGAGAAAAAATGAAGTTCTCATCTATGTTGTTGAATATTTATCTGAATTGCACTGCTCTTTTAGAATTGCTTTGCTCTATATAGTTTGAGCTTTCTCAGATATCCTGTGTGATACTAGTGGCTTGTTCTTTGTATGGTATACTTAAGTTGCTTTTTAAAAATGAATTGATAGTGTTTTTAGATATAAGTTCTGGAAGTTCATTCTACTTAAATACGATGAAATAACTGAAACGTTTGTGCTTGTGTGTGTGGCATATTTGTGTATAAGTGTTAGCATGATGAGAAGCTGAAAAAAAATAATTTGGCATTGACCTTGAAATTGTAAGGAGTGTAATTGTAAGTGCTGCTTGAAGTTAAAGTTAGCTATCCTATGGCCACAGCATGGCTGCAATATATTTTTAAGTATATTTTCTTCAGGTGTCTCTTCCTTGCTGTCTATAGAATTGCAGTTTCTTTTGGCACCTGCTTAGAAAGTGGTTTTGACATGATCTACGTATTTTAGTCTCTCTGAAGCATCTGCTCTCTTCAGGCTACTGCATTTTGATCATTTGATCAGTTCATCTCATTTTTAAGAATAGAATATTTGTGTTTATTTTAAATGGTTTTTCTATAGGTAGAATGCTTTTAGAGGGTCTGATCATGGTCTGATCATAACAGAACACAGTTAAGAGGTCAAACAAATGTAGAAATGACATTTGAAAGCTGCAGCTGGGTCTAAAGCAAACATAAGCAGTGGTTGATGAGCAGATTCACCCATAAAAGCATCAAGGACAGCGATTTTCAACCTTTTTCATCTCGTGGTACATATAAACTAATTATTAAAATTCTGCAGCACACCAAAAAATGTTATATTTTTTGCCGATCTGACCAAAAAAGGTATAATTTTGATTTTTTATTTACACCAGATGGCTATTGTGTTGGTTGTTGTCATTTTTTTATTTGACCATCTAAGGGAAAAGAGGTCAGTGCCTCTGACTAGTCAGGTATTGCATGTTTTAAAAATTCTTGCAGCACACTGGTTGAAAATCACTGGTCTAGGAGGTCATGTTAACCTTTGTATGAATTTATGTGTTTCATTTCTTTCCTTTATATCAAGAGGAGGATGGGCTTAAGTTTTGTTTTTTTCCTTCCTTTTCCCTATTCTGAAGTTTCACAGATGGAAAATTGAACGTTGCCAAAGGAATTCTGCTCAGCAGGTCTAGTCTGTTCGTGTTTTAGAATAAAAATTGCCAAACTTTGTTGAAAAACCACTTCCGAGGAAACCTTAGATATGAATTTATTAAATTTTAATTAGAAAGCTGAAAAATGAATATTGGTTTAGAATGTCATTTTTTCAAAATGTGGCATTCCAGTCTAAGACAAGTCAATTAATTATACAGCTCTGCTGCCAAGGACTTATGTTGCTTATCAATCCTACACTGCCCCATATGGTAGCTTCTAGCCTAGGTGGCTATTTAAATGTAAATTAATTAAAATGAAATAAAATTTAAAATTCATTTTCATTTTAAATTTTAAAATTCATGTGGTCACACCATTCACATTTCAAGTGCTCCATACTGGTTGGCTGGAGGCTACTGTATTGGACAGTGTGGATATAGAACACTTCACAGAAAGTTCTGTTGGACAGAGCTCAGAGTCAGTATGGCTGTCTCCTTTTCCTTAGGAAAAATGCATTTATCTTTATAAAAGAATATTTTTTAAACATAGTTCTAAATAGGTTTCTTTTAGGAAAGACAGGAAGATTTTTTTCAGGTTTTATAAAATTGTCTTTTAATTTGAGGCATATGTCACAAAAATGAGTCCTTTTAACTCAGACATGCTTCTTGGATGGGGAATGAACTTGAATGAACATTTTTGTGTTTAATTTGCATTCTCAGAGCTGGAGTACTGCCTGTGGACACAGAAGATGAAATGGGGTTTTCTGGTCTTTCTGCTGGTTTCTGATTTTGCATCTTTATATTTATTTATTTATTTTTATTTTTTGTACGTTTTTATTAATATTTAGAGAAAGAGGAAGGGAGGGAGAGAGAGAGAGAAACATCGATATGAGAAAGAAACATTGATTGGTTGCCCTCCCATATGCTCCCTGACTGGGAATCGAACCAGCGACCTCTTGGTGTACAGGATGATGCTCCAACCAACTGAGCTGCCCATCCAGGGCTGTTTTTATTTTCTGTTTTTTATTTTTATTTTTTAAGAGAGAAAGAGAAAGAGGAAGGAAGAGAGTGAGAGATAAAAACATCGATTTGTTGTTCCATTTACTTATGCATTTATTTATGACCAGGAAGGAACTCACAACTGTGGCATATGGGAATGACACTCTAACCAACTGAGCTCCCTGGCCAGGGTATGAGGGGAACACAGTTCTTAAAAAACCTCTGAGGACATTGGGGTTTGTTCATCTCTAGCATGAGACTAAGTAGTGATGCTTGTTGGTACCACATTTCCTTTAGTGGGAAGTGCTGTGGAAACATCTCAAGCTGAGGAAAACATGTATACTGCTTTTGCTCTAATATTTCAAGGGCATACCAAAAGAGGTACTAGCTTAATGAATGATCCACTTCTGCATGCCTTATTCAGATGTGATAAATCAGTATACTTCCCTCCCCCAATTTAAGTGAAGACTGGGAATTTCAGAGAGAGATTTTTTAAATTAAAAATGTGTTTATTTAAAATAGTTTATTTTTATTTTCATTCACATATTTTAATAAATTCATTGTTCCCCATCCAAACACATTTAATTAAAGTCTCTTACACAAAGTTGTTAAACCAAATATTCATTGTAAGTGGAAGCACCAGAATTCCTGTAGAGGATGGGGCTCTTTTGGGCACAGTCTAACTGAAAGGGAGCTAGGGTTGTCAGGGCACTTGCACCCAAACTGGTTTTGCTTAGTAAATGATGTTTCCCTTAGAGTGGGTATTTGCTTGGATGGTTTTAGGGAAAGCTGATGGAGATTAGGTTTAGCTTCCTCCCACTCCCCAAGTGACAGCTGTCATGGCTCTATGTTAGTCTTTGTGGGTTGATTCTTTGTTAGTGTTTTTTGCTGGGTTACAAATTCACTGTGTGAGAAAAAAATATTAGGAATTAGATCTGACCTTGAAATTTTAAAAAATATATCTTCTAGAGCAGTATTTTTCCACCTTTAATTGAATCATAAGCCAATTTAGTGTGTCAAGATGAACATTTTTAAAAAGTGAAATACAATAGAGTTAAATAGAAAAGATCAGAAATGTGTGTGTCTGTACTAGGTGGTGCTACTGAATGTATTTTTTACTGTGAGCCCTGTCAGCATTTGAAAGGCATTGTTCTAGGAAAGAGCACTGCAATTTAGAACCCTGGGAGTGAGGCATCTTGATCTCACTTTAAGGTATTTACTCACTGGTGGGGGTAAGATCCTTACCTGCCTTGTGCCCACTGGAGATGTGGTCTGCTTTATAGCTCTGGAGCCCAGTCTGTTGCCTAATGCTCACAGAATGCTCCATAGTGTCTAAGTATTTCTTGAATAATCTCTCCTTTCTTTCTTGGTCCCAGCTGAGGTGCTTTAGCTGCCTACCTTCCTGAAAGGTCTGATATCAAGGTCATTGCAATCCACAAATATAAATCCAAAACTGGATCATGTTTTTCACACACATACATACAAATACATATCTGATGGTACCACAATTGTTCATTTAACACACCTTTATTGAGCTTCTATTATGTGTGGGAACAGGTGC